TACTCACAGGTGCATATATAATATATAAGAACACAGTGCATTCATAAATACTTTATACAAGCTACACATTTGTAAGTATTTATAAGAAAGTACTGATCGTTTAGTAAATAAGAAAATTTAACATGATATGTACCTATTAGGAAAATGGAGTTACGTTCCGAGGAAAATCACAAAATGGAATTTGCAATATATTGTATACATATATGAGTTTTTCCTAATCTATCAGCAACTCAAATTAGGGAGTGGTGTTGTTCGAAAACGTTTCAAAAGCTAATGTCGCCATTTAAACATAATTTTCATTTCAATACAGATCAAAAATACTAATTATTTTAACTTTCAAAATACTTTATTAAACAATGACTAAGTCCTTTTGGCTATCAAATTTGATTGTTCGTTGTAAAACAAAAGTTATTTACGGAATTAATTAATTTCACAATCAGCTCATTGTTTACTGAGTTTTAAAAAAGTAAGGTGTTTATATTTTCGTTTCTTTTTTAACTCAATTTCTGTGGAGTTGGTTGGATTCGTTTGTAAAAAAGTGTAATATATCTAGTGGGAATAAATTCAGTTTTGATTCGTTTAATATGTCATATTTTTGGATATGGTTCGAAACCACATTAACTATACCCTCCTAACTAGGACTATTAACAACAAGAAGTAAAACACTGCTTATTACACAGACTTATTAACAAATGTGTATCCAAAATTAAAAATGGGTAACTTTACAGTATGTTTCTTCAAACATTAAGTGTTACTCATACGCCATGTTACACTCTTTAATTACAATTTAATCCTAAATGACTTTCAGTAACAATTTTTCTATCAAATACACGATATTTGACCTTAGCAGATATCCAATATATGTATGTAAACAGTGATGGTGGTGACAGCGTGATGGTACAGGTGGGAACGCTGCAGGCAACTATTGATAGGACCAGAAGTGCAGTTGGCAAAAGTGATCGAGCAGTGAAGTAGGAGTCGAAGTTAAGAGTCGCAGAATAGTCGTAAAAAACCAGTTGTTGAGAAAACGAATAAGTCGGTTAGCCTTTTTAAAAATCGTTGATCGGTCACGTCAGATAGTCGTTGGAAGTAAGGAGTTTATTAAAAGTAAACCAAACGTTGTCAAGTTGACTTATTTGTATCCTTTTAAATAACCACCAACATGTTCATTAAACAAACATCAATAAACAATTACCAAACATTTCAATAAATATTACATGTATATGCAAATAGTCGAAAAACTTTTGTATTACTTTAATATATTAAATTGAGCAAACTCAAAGCCTAACTAGGCTGCAGTGTAACATAAAAATTATGTGGGAAAAACTACTTTACAACCACCGTGAACAAATCAGACGAATTTTAACATAAGCACAGCGAACTTGACCAAAAACCCAGGTTAACAGTATTCCTGAAAATTTAATCGAACTAAAGAGTTTTGTAACTGTTTTTAACTAGTACAAAAAAGTGTATTTTTGACCAAAATCTGACACTTGACATGGCATCATCAACTTTCAAAAAGTACCACTTGCTTTTATGGATAACCTTAGTACTATGGTTTTCGGTGCCTATTAGTTGAAAATTTGTTTATATCTAGTTTTATTGCAGGGTAGTTCATTCACAAGCAAGTAATGGAAAACATTTTTGAGGCCAAAACGTATAGTGTTATTAAAAAAAATTGTGAAAGTGAATTTAAATGCAGTGATTTGCTACCGAGTAGGAAAAAAACATTGGTGAAAATAAAGTAAAACACATAAACTAAACATTAGAAGTTTAAGGGCACTCGAGAACTTTGAGGGAAATATAAGAAAACTTTTGAGAAATAATTATATATTACAAACAGCAGAAAGTTACTTCTTTCTACCACAAAAAATTACGAAAATAATTTTAAATAATGTACCTATATAAAATAATGTTGGAAAATCTATGTTTTTGAGTTTTTATTCATTTCTCACTTTTTGGGAATGTTTACTTTCTATAGTTAGATGTCGATCTTTGTAGGATCTGTATTTTGAATAAAACTATGTATATTCAAAGCTTTAAGGGGCGCAGATTGCGAAAAATTTTAAAAGTTTTTATACTCTTGCAACATGTTGCTGAGATAGATATAGAGTTTTATACATCTACATATATTAATGATCAAGACGATGAGACGGAAATCCGGGATACTGTCTGTCCGTACAAGCAATAACTTGTGTAAAAATTGAGATATCTTGTTGAAACTTGTTACACATATTCCTTTGTTGATATTGCAGATGGGAGGAATCGGACCTTTGAAACGCCCATAAAACGCCATTAATCGAAACCAATAAAGTATCATAACTCCACAACAAGATACAAGCTTGTTATGTGGAACAAGGAATTGCATTAAGAAGGCATCTATGATTGACATTGTTTTTAAGTGGGCGTAGCTACGCCTTCTTATAAGTTTAATGTACATACATATCTCCTAAACCATTCCAGCTATAATATTCAGAGCAAATTTTTTTAGCAACCCTACCCACCCAATAACCCCGCCCACTTCCCATCACATATAACGGTTTTGTTAAAAACTACTAAGAGGGCGATACATCTATAAATTAATACGTCAGATATAAAATTTTACCATCTGAGATGGCACGAGAGGGCTTTATAGGAGTCGGTGTCAAATGTGGATGATACAAATCAAGAACCAATCAATGTATCCGGATTAAACTTTACACGAATAGTGCCTTTGAGGTTTTGACCAAAAAGTGTCCAAATCGAACCAAAACTATTCAAGCCCCCAGATACCAAATATATAAACCCCACTTCCTGTTCCTCCTTTTTGAAAATACCGGTCAATCTGTGAAACACTTGTATATGTTTTTATAGAAATTTGCAGATAATCATTTTGCCTTTATGACAAAATTTGGTTGAATCGGATCAAGAAAGAGCAATGTCAAAAGTGTGTGCAATCAGTCTAGACTTCTTTGTCCCCAATATGCCCTATATTGTTATTTCCAACTTCTCACCTGCCTTTAAACCGTTTAGTTTGGCTAAAATGTGTGATATTTTAATAAAGTTAAATGGACAAATTTTACTAAAAATCATGTGGTGATATTCCTAATATTATATAATGAATTGCGATCCTCTGGTTGACGTTTTCCACATCGACGCAATATATTAAATTTAGCCTCTTCGATTGAGTTTATGTCACATATGTCTTATTTGAGGAAGGTTTTATAAAAACCAAACTTCCTTGCTTGTTTTTTTTGTTAATGTTTTGCATATTTCGTTAGGTTATGCATTAAAAATACTATTCTAAAATTTTAAATGAAGGTTTCAAATAGTTTTTAAGTTATAGGCTTCCAAAGTATGGATGCTCGGTTCAATCAGCCGTATAAGTTTATATTTAAAAGCGTTTTTATCGAAACAGTTCTACATGTGCATGTTTTACAATAACCTGCCATCTTATAGTAGGGATTTCCGGAATCACTGCAGCAATGTAGGACCTGTTTCTAGCGCCGTCGAAAATGGTGTGTTATTTGACAAAAAATATTTTTTTTTTAAATCTGACTGTGCATTTTCAAATATTTACAAAAAATCACATTTTTTTATCTGTCACGCTAGTATAAAGTAAATTTTTCTTGGAGACTTTTACTTTCCCTCTTAAAACCTATACATATTAAATGAGTGAAGTGCTCTCTCATACCACTATGGTTCCTAACGTTACAAATAATATGATTTTTTTGGTGAAAGCTAATAATAGCTCATATACAAAAATGCACCGTTATTAGAAAAACACACTCTCTTAATTTTATTAAGATAACCACACAGGGTCCACATATTCCGTATGTGTTTTTTAAAAGAATCATGATTAAATGCGAGATGGCATACCTTAAAAGCACTATTCGTGCAAAGTTTTACCCCGATATATTTATATAACTTTGATTTGTATACTAATAAGTGAAAAAATCAGATGAAATTTAAAATTGATTTATATGGAAAATAGGAGTGGTTGTAGTCCGAGTTATGTAACTGTCTCTTATAAAGTTTTTTTACCACCATGGGTGTAAAATTTAATGTCTGTGACGCATTTAGTTAGTTGAATTATCGCACTTTAGGTAGTTTTTAATAAAACCGTTTTATGGGGAGTGGGCGTGTTTATCAACCGATTTCACCTATTTTCCCACTGTCCTATAGAATTGTCGAAGGGACTTATCATGTGCAAATTTATGTGTTATAGCTTGAGCTAGGGGGCGGCGCCACGCATACTTTTTAAAAAATTTGAAAACCACAGATTCCCCTCTTTAAGGCTATTCCTTGTACCAAATAACAATTTGTATCTTATTGTGGAGCTTTGTTATGGAAATTTATATGTTTTGGATTATTTGCGTTTTGTGGGCGTGACAATGGTCCGATTACGCCCATTTGCAACCTTCTTACCAACAAACATGTGTACCAAGTTTAATCAAGATAACTCAATTTTTGCTCTTGTTACAGCTAGCACAGACGGACGGTCGGACGGACAGACAGTCACCCAGATTTCCACTCGGCTTTTCATCCTGATCATTTATATATACATAACCCTATATCTATCTCGATTAGTTTTAGGCGATACAAACAACAGTTAGATGAACAAAACTATTATACTCTGTAGCAACATGTTGTAAGAGTATAACAACACGCATGAGATATATCACAACTGTTTATGAACTTTACGTAGGTCGTTTAATAACGCCAGTTTGCGCTATTGAGCAGTTGAACTGATGTTTTTTTGCATAAAGTTGGCACAATCATGCAGCTTTCAATCCCGAAACCGGTAGCGACTTTCTTCGTGCCAACTTTTTTTCGGTACAGTTAGAGTACTATTTTTTACGGCATGAACGAGTAAGTCACATACATATATATATTATTCAACATATCATAGACCAAACACACATTCAAACCATACATACATATGCATATATATTTTTTCATTAACAATATTTATTACAGTGGTATTAAATATTTAAGTTATGTGTATAACTTGCACTCACCTTAAAATCAATATAACCATTTTTGTCCATGTCGAAGGTGCGAAAAACGTGATCACAAAACTCCTCGGCATTTCCAGATGGGAAGAACATTTTGTACATGTCCACGAATTTGGCCGGCGTTAAACGGCCGTTGGGACAATCTTGCTGCAGTGCGGCACAAATAAGAAACAATAAAGATGAAAATGAAATGAAAATACATGGTAGCGATATATAGTTTTAGTTGGAGTTGTTGTTGTTGTTGCAGTAGTAGTAGTAATAGTAGTAGCACGATATAAGCGGTTGGTAGGTTGTTGTTGTTTTACGCATTTAGTTGTTGTTGTGCATTTATTGCATATACGGTAGTATATACATAAGCAATATATGTAGTGACGCATTAGTATGTGTGTTAGCAAAAAAAGTGTTAAACAAGAAATAATTCATGATATGCAGTTACCTTGAATCCTTTATACCATTCCTTAATTGTGGCTTCATCGTAGCGTGTATGCGATTTCAAAAACTCCATATCCTCTTTGGTCAGACGGTCTTTACTACTTAAGCACCCCATTTTTTTTTCGAGCTAATTAAAAAGTATTACAGTTATATATTGTAGTTCACTTTTTAACCAATTTATTTTTTGTTGTTTTCTTTTTCTTGTTATTGCTCGAGCGCAACTATGGTGTGTGTAGTCTTATTTAAATTTAGTTTTCTTTTTTATTTTATATTTTTTTGAATAATTTTGAATTAGCAGTAATCTGATGTGTTGTGTTGGCGGAGCGGTGTAACGGTGTGGCAGCTAAATTCTAATATGTGTTGGTGAGTAGAACCGTCTCCGTTGGGTTAGTGCTAAATTACTAAACGTTGTTAAGAAGCTGATTGGGTGCTGTCGCTGGCTCCTGCTGTTGCTGCTCTATGTTGTATGCTGCGGCTGATACTGCTATGCTATGCTATGCTAAGTTTCACTTTTGATATTGTTGATTTAAAGCTTTCAGCTTTTTGTTTTTCAATTGGTGCTTTGCAATTTTTCTTACATATATATGTATGTATAATATATTTTATTTTTAATTTATACTTTTAAATTTTTTTTTTCTGTTTCGTTCCAACTTTTTGCACTGCAAACAAACTGTTTTGCCTTTACTAAACTACATTGAATGTTAAGTGGACTTTGCGTTTCATTTAACTTCGTTAAAATGCAATCATTTAAAATCAATAATATTTTTTTCTTGCTATGTGGGCTATTCCATTTTGAACTTCCAAGAAATTGAATCAATGCAACAATTCGTAAGCGCTCCAGCGATACGTAAATCGATTCATTTCTAACCGAGCAGTGTGCAAATTCGTGAAAAACTAACTTTCTTTGCTATATTATTAGTTATTTAAAAAAATTCTTTTCCACACGACTTTCTTGTTAGCTTATAACCAATATTTCCGTTATGCTTCACTTTTTTTACTCATCTAATTGAATTAAATTTTTATGATTGTATACAGAGTTAGAGAGTATTTTATTTGAAATCTGTGTTGTGTATTGTATGAAAGTCGCTACTAACAAAATGTAATAACCAGGCTGGGAGCGAACGGACAGACTTTTCGAGTTCGATAGTGTACATGCGCAGTAAGCAGGTCCTTTTGCATGTAGGTATACACTGGCTCGCTCGCACGCTGGCTGGTGTATAGCACCAGCATTGAAGGTTTCATTTTCAAATCAACTTCCGACTATGCCCGTATAAATGCGCACATGCATACATACACACACGTTGTTTTATGTACATATACACCTGCGAACACAACAAAATACATACCCAGTAGGAAAAATATGCGCAAAAATTTCAATTCATAAAAAATGCAAACAAGCCTGGTAGTGGCATTCCACATTTTTCAGCTAGAAAAATTTTACTTAAGCTACAACAACGGTAACACAACAGTTAAACCACACGAAAACCACCCTCAACCCCCAACTGACTAAATAAATTATCGCCAATAGGCAATTTTCATGCAAATTATATAACCTCGAAGTTTGAAAACAACTTGAAGCAGCTGGTGGATTTTAAGAAGAAACCTTTTTAATGTCGGAAATACACTCGTAAATTTAATCAATAGATAGATTGCTTAAAGCTAATAGCTTAATACTTAATTTCTTTGCCTTCTTAGCTTCAAGAACAATCAAAAATTAATTGATCTATTCGAATTTATAAAAGTTAGTTCAATAACTTCATTTTCAAAATTATGAAAATTTCTATTCGACTTTGCTTGTAAGCATTTGACATATTTTTTCCACGCAGTTCTAATGAGAATTTGACAGTTCTCAATCTTGTTCCTTTGGTCGTTATACTAATCAAAGATTTAACAGGTTTAAATTTGACAATTTTTTGTGAGTCATGAATGAATTCGAACTTTGCTGAATTAACTTTGACAGATTTTAGCATTTTGAACCGATTTCTCAAATATTTTGTTGACGATGAGTATGGATTTTGTTAACAACTATGGTAAAAATGATTATACGAAGAAACTGAGCATAATTTCTTTGAACATCAAACCCCACATTGGTACACTTGGCTTTAGAGCATATAGATGGTCACAAAAACGTGATTTTATGAGGTATTTAAAAAAAACTACAGTATTGTAGAATCATACTTTTTTAGAACTTACATAAATAAAGGAAATAACTTTTACCACTGTGGACTATGAATATTTTTTTAACTTTTTCTTTTATTTATTTACAAGCTTCAGATATAAAATTAGATCTGGTCACAAGAAATATATAAGTCTAAGCTATTAACAATATTTCTAATGTAAGAGGTCTATGATAGCATGCGACTATTTATCGAATTTTATAACATTGTTAAATATATTATAGCTATGGGATTTAAAAATAAGTAAAAAACTAAACATGAAGTAAACATGAATTATAATACTTTTCTTTGATCGGCACGCTTGTTCAGGTTGAAAACTTAACCGAAAAGTATGATATTAAAAACAATTTTCCAAATGATATTGCCGATCAACTGTGAATTGTTAATAGACAGCCATTTAAAAATGATTGGCAGTATGATTACTGAAGCCGCGAAAAAAAATATTTTCAGAACAATAACTCGACTTAGAGCTGCGAAGAAGTGAGTCTATGCAAACAAAATTAGCGTATAAATTCCCAGAGAAGCGAGCTGTAAAAAATTGTATGCAGTGAACACCTCATTTATAATGTCTATACATTGATGCAGAGATGAATTGACTTCTCATCGTTATGTCTGTAGATATGTAAGAGATCAAAATCACGATTTCCGTTTTTGATTTCCTGCCGGGGACATAAACACACACATACACATATTTATTCAGGTTATTATAAGTACTACGGCAACCAGGCACAAAGCACAATGTGTACATCTCTGTACATGCATTTAATTCGTATGATCTAGGGTTACCATTGCAATTGCTCGGAAGGACATTCTACATTCTATATACGAGTACATGTACATATGTGGGTATGTATATGGTGTTTGACTTGTATTTGGTACTCTACAAGAGTCCACAATACATTCAACAGTTAATTTTGACGCATTTGACTTTCTTGTACAAACATATACATACCTATGTATTATATATCAACACAAGTGTAATGACGAAGTATAAAAGAAAAGTTCTAAACATATACACATACAATGTATGTATGCGCCAATAACGTTATAGTTCTTCATTACGTGAATGTGTTCAGTTATTTAGTAGTAAGTCATATTGAATTGACTGTTCTGATTAAAAGAGAAAAATAGAAGAGAGTGGTTGAGACTTTTAACAGGTAAATTACTTTGGAAATAACTTACTTGCAACCTAATTAAAGGGAGTTTTTCGGAGGAAATTTCATAAAGCTCAAGATATGATAGAGATTTCTACATAATTTTTACGAAAACCCAAAACAAACAAGCGATATTTTTCTCTGCACTCTTAAAAAATTCACGTTGGTATTGTTATCCAGATTTCTCCATATAATCAAGAAGAAAAAACATAGACTCTCATGGAACATCAACTGTCAGAACTAAACTGAACGACAACAATTTTAAAATCTTTACAAACTATAATGGAGCTCCTGCAATCTGAGTTTCTCGTGACGATACATAGTTCCATCAATAATTTCCCGCTTTAAGGAAGCAAATAAAGCCATAGCTTCAGAACAGTTCCAATAGGAGCCAGGTTTTCGCAGTGGTTCAAATCTTAAAAAAATCCTTTTCACAGATTTAAAGCTCCGCATAACATTTTGATATGATTTTTTTAACTTCTTAATAACATGTATATTTATGCCATGCGATGCTTCACCATGGATCAACCTCACTTTATTTAGTTCAGTGAAGGCAGTATAGATGTTTCCATCTATGCGGCCTGTACGATAAATATTTAGCCAAAATTTGATTGAACGCGTTTAAACGTGATGGAAGAACGTTGGTTTTTGATGAACCACGCCAATGGCCTTGAAAAATGTCTACGATCTCTTATTAGACAGCGATTAAAGGTTGGCAAGATAGCTGATATAGGCATCTCAAAAAACCGTGTGGTCTTATACATATTTCTTGAAATATTACTCATGAGAAAATTATCACTCACTGTTCACTCCAGATAATACGCGAAACCATGAGCGCACTTCACAGCAGTGTTTGAAGCTGGTTAAACGCAATCGGCAAGAGTTTCTGCGTCATTTCAAAGACAGTCAAAATACCATAGGAAACTTCACTCGTCGAAATTGCTCTGACGAAGGAGAAGATTGTACCATCGGCCGAAATGACGATAGCCACTATTTTCCGGATTTTACAAGGTGTCTTCTACATCGAAAACGTCGAGAAGGGCAAACAGGCACTGCCTCTCCCGTTTCAACAAATTTCTAACAAACTTTTATAAACGTTATTTTTAAACAGTTTATTATTGTACCTCTGTCTGACCACACAATCATTTGAACTCTTCTCCCTTTCTCTTCCTCTATACGTACCGCATTTTTAAAACACCTTTCCAAGTAATATAATAAATAGAAGCTATATAGATTTAAACAAAAGTAGACGGAAAATATTTAAGTCGTCCTTTCCTGGTGGAAGAGCACATAAAATTTATTGTTTTCAACTTTCAATATAAAAAATCACCAGTAATGAAATTTGTATCAAAGCAGATACAGTTATTGTTGATTATGATCAGCAACAGCAAACATATTAATGCCGGTTTATTTTTTAACCAACTACAGCAGCTGATGTTGTTGTTGCCGGCGCAGATAAATGTTTTTATGTATATTTTAATTTTTTCTTTTCATTTTAACTTAATTTACGATTGTTGGCACTAATTTTGAACTCTGTAACTTTACGACACAATCAACACGAATATCATAATTTTATACGAATGTACACAAGTGTAAGAGTGGATAGATATTTAGGCATGTACGATTTTTGTTTTTGCACGCTGTAGGACCCTACCCGCGCGATCGACAAACTAAACTAAATGAAAAGTTAATGTATGTCCCAAAAATCCAGCATTTCGCAAGATTATGACGTATAGATTTTTGAAAAAAGAAAAAACAAGGCATAAAATTAAAAGCTACAAATTAAATATGTTTAA